TGCTTCTTTGTCCAGACTGTTTTCAAACTCTGGGGCCAGCTGGACTGGGTGGTACAGGAGACTGAGGGGGAAGGATCATGAATGGAAATTCCAGACCAATTAGCCAGACCCCCAACTCAAAAAAAAAAAAAAAAAAGGAAAAGAAAATGGGCTGGGTGGAGAGAAGGCAATAGAGGAAAGGGAGATGGTGTCATGTTGCACTCGTGTGCAAGTGTGGGGGGGTGCCCAGAGAAAATGCCCTTTGCTGGCAACAGGACTCGGCAGTGGAGCTTGACTCTTGATCTTCAATACCTCGTAAAAGGAGTGTTGTAAGGTGGTTTCCAAGGGCTTTCTTTGCAACCTTCAGATCCCAAGCCCTGCACCAGCCTGCTCACTGGTGGTGAACCGGGCTGATCCTGGGGGTGGTGAATGTTGGTCCGTGTGTGAGGAAGGCAGCTTGGTCATAGAAGTTTGGAAACAGATCCATCTGCCCTTTGGGAGACACCAGGGCATTACTGGCCCATGGTCTGCTGTCTTGAAACAGTTATCAAGTGGTTTAGAAAACCACTGCCGGTTTTCAGGTGATGTAATAGTTAGAATTCCACTGACCTACCTGTGCCATTGGTCACTGCCCGCCCCTCCCCTGCTTCTTTCCTGCCACCTCCAGTCAGGCTGTCCCTGGGAAATGGGTGAAAGGAAATGCCAAGGCCAATGCAAAGGCCTCTTGCCACCTCCCAGGGGGCGGTGCCCCTCCTTGATACTTGGGGCTGGAGCATAAGGAAGCAGCAGTTTCAGTCACCCAGGCAGGGTAGCAGGTGGGCTGGGGGAGGGCTGGCAGCCTGCCACCCACAGGCTCCCTTCTCTTTCCTTCCAGGCTGTGGTCACAAAGTAGCAGTAAGGCTGTGACAACAATACTAGTAGCTGACAATGCCCCAGGCTCTGGAGCAAGCAGATGGCAGATGGGCCTGGGTAGTCCTGCTGGCCTCCCTGGTGGCCCAGGCCCTCACCGTGAGCTTCCCTTCCTGCATCGGTGTCTTCTTCACTGACCTACAGCGTGACTTCCAGGCCACCAACAGTGAGACCTCATGGTTTCCCTCTATCATGGGAGCCATGCTCCATGGTGGGGGTGAGCAGCTTGAAGAGGGGGTGAGGGTCTGTTGGGAGCTGGGGGGAATCCTCCTGACTTACTAGGTCCCTCTTTCTGGGGCCATAGGCTTTACCTGCTGGATGCATTCCTGAGGTTTACTTGATCTGATCAGGGCCTGGCCTACCTGGCTAGAGTCCAGTTGCATTATGTCCGGTTCCTAGAAGTCTGGGCTGCATTAGTGCTGAGAAAGTGGAATGATGGCTGAGGCACAGAGTCAGCAATGATTCCAGAGCCCTCTCGGTGACCGACCTGGAGCGGAGCATTCCATGGCAGGCTGAGTGACAGCTGGTGCTGAGGCCATCTCAGGACCTTTCCTTCCCATGTGATGTAATGGGAAACCTCGTGGATCCTGGAGCTAGTGCGAGCTAGGAGACATATGGGCTGTGAATTGCTGTGAATATGCTAGAGACCCTCACTGTAGCTTCCAGATAGGCGAGGACAAGCCATA